TAAACCTATTTTCTGAACAGACCAGAGAAGTGGTAAAAAAAAAAAACCTTTCTCACACAGGATTTGATGATATGGAAATTCAGAGTTTTCCTTTTTGAAGCGACGGACCACTTACTGGGTGAATCTCACAATGTCCAGGTCACATTTCAGCCCAAAATCAAATGAAGAAAAAAAAAAACAAGAAATTATATTTTGTATAAAGAAAAGTAAGGCTTTTTAAGAACCATTAAGATTCTTTTTGATTTTTATATATATATTTTATATATATATTTACATATATATTTCTTATTATAAATGTTGATGACTATTTGCTGCTCATATAGATAAGAACCATTGTCATTTTTAATAATTAAGTTCCAATAATAATTGCACCAAATCAGCATATTAGAATGATTTCTGAAGGATCATGTGACACTGAAGACTGGAGTAATGATGCTGAAAATTCAGATTTGCATCACAGAAATAAATTACATTTTAAGATATACTAAAACAGAAAACAGTTATGTGTTATTTCATAATATTACTGTTTTTTAACCATATTTTTAATCACATAAATCCAGCTTGGTGAATATGTAATATAATTATATGTATTATAATTAAAATAATATATATTTTCTATAGAACATATGTCATGAAAATAATGGCACAAAAAAATTGTTCTTTTGTATTTCTTTCTGTTGAATTTCAATTTGATTTTGAAATGTTCTTGACAAGTTTTGTGAGACTCAACCTTGTGATAACACCACTGACCTGTCCACTGCGATGGCCACCAGCGTGAACACAGAAGCAGACACGGACATGCCCTGCACCAGACCACTCATCTTACAGACTGTGTTTGTGAACGGCCAACCTTGGAGGAAAAGAAAAAATATGAAATGACTGACAAGGTGAATTGTGCTACATAAAGCCCCCTCAAAACACACACACATCTTTTAGGCGAGAGATTGCTGAACGCAGAGAGAGTGAAAGATTCTTCTCGTTTCATCAGCAGGATGTCCGAGCTGAATGCTGCAACTGTAATATAAGAGGACTTAAAGAAGATTCTCCTCAATCTTTTCCATGTACACAAGATGCTTGCAAAAATTTCTGCTTGGCAGGAAGATTTGTTTTTTTTTTTACTTCACAAAATGGTCTCCCTCAAGCCCAAGGACAAAAGGTTTAGTTGCCCCCGTCTTTGTTGGCCTTGCCTCACAATACTGAATTTCCGCTAACACTAAAAGATCTGTTCACTTGTGGGCAATGTCTGCTATAATGGCAATGACTCAAGTCATTCAGCATATTTATACCCTGTGAAATGCTCTTTAATAATACTGTGGACTGTGGAGTAGAAGAAATAATATTGCAATGCTATTGGCTGTGGACATAATCAGATTGCATTGACAGATCTGGTTTTGTCTCCCTCCAGTACATTTTAAGCCTAGCAACAAAGGCAATTTGTTGAAAGGTGAGAAACACAAAGTGGAACAATGTAAATAAATGTTCCCAGAACTATACAGTCACTGACGAATATCAACATACAGACCAGATGAACAGGAGTTAACAAACACTTTAGCGCTATTCATATGGTTTATTTCTCCAATGAAGTGTGTAAAGATAATTTGCATGATTTTTATCAGGACAACAGTTATTTTACCAGTTACTGTATGATCATTACCCAACATTACATCAATAATGGTGTTTGATGTTATAGTCTGGGTTCTGTAAGTAAAAATACAGCAAAAACAGCAATATTGTGAGATATTCTTACAATTTAAAATAACTGTTTACTATTTCAATGTATTTTAAAATGTAATTTATTCCTGTGAAGACCATTACTCCAGTCTTCAGTGGCTCATGATCCTTCAGAAATCATTCTAATATGCTGATTTGCTGTTCAAGAAACATAGTTTATTATTAACAGTGCTGAAAACAGTTGTACTGTTGAAACTGATAATTTTTTTCAGGAATCTTTCATGAATAGAAAGTTCAAAAGAAAAAACAACAATATTTGGTAACATTATAGATGTCTTGTCCGATTAAATTTAATTGCAGAATAATTAATTAAAAAAATGTACATAACAATAATAATTAATAATAATAATTATTATTATTATAATTTTTACAAAAGAGAATGACACTTATGGGCCATTTTTTTATTGAATTGCACACAGATTATCAGCTTGAATCAGTCTGATGAGTCATTCACTGAATGAACTAAATCCAAATAAACACTTACTAAGCTAAAGTCATTGCTTTCAATCATATCATACTTGAAATGAAACATACTTAATGTGTACTTGAGGCTTGCGAAAGTTAAACCAGCACTTTATTTTACAGTACATGCACTTTCATGTATGTCTGTGTTGACAGATTCTGTGTGGGCCTATGAGCACCATAATGTGCAGATTTTGGACAGCTAGGACGGCTGGTATGAAAGAGTCATTAATACATCTGGACTGGACAGAGAAAAAGAAAAAGAGAGGCCAGGGACCAATGAGCGCTTCTGCCTGTGGTCTATCTCTCAATAGCCCACGGCTATTCTGTGCTTGTGAAGAAAGCGATCAATATTGTCAGTTCTCACTGGAGGCATTTCAGAAGAAAAGAAGGATGGAATCATAGTCCAGAATGAACAATCATGCCCATCTTCTTCTACACAACCGCTATACACAATGTTTTCAACCAGAAATTATGATTAATTGATAAGTACCTTTAATGCAATGCAAGTCACTTTGAATAAAAGCATAAATGTAAATGTAGCAAGAAAAAGAACTTCAGAGTAGTGAAAGGGACCTTTTATCTTGGAGCACCTATACAACTTGAAGCTATAACAACACGGTTTCACAATATCCAGGGCACTAATTGTGTTCTATACAAGATTTTTGTGTGTTTGTGTCTAACACGCCCCCACATGTCTACGTCACTGTGTGGGAAGATTTGCATAACACCTCCCAAATGTATACGCAAAGAAAGAAGGTGTAACTTTTATTCTCGCTGTAGTATTGTTGCCGCCGCCGCCATGTTGTGGAGACGCGGTGCGTTTCGTTGCGAAAGCCAAACTACTTTGTTTTGCCTTCCAAAGGAGGACACAACTAGAAATCAGTGGTTAAGTTTTATTTACCACACTGTTCCAAAACAATACAACCCAAATATTCGAGTGTGTGCAGCACATTTTATGGATTAAAGTTTCCTGAACCTGGTAAGGGACGTAACATTTCCGTCACACGCTTGAGGAATTCGGCCAATCACAACGCACTAGTTAGTTGGCCAATCAGAGCACACTGCGCTTTTCTGAAGGATGAGCTTTGTAAAAATCGACGTGCTTCAGAAAGGCGGGGCATAGAGGAACAACAATAATTCAGTATGTGAAAAAATAATGTGTTTTTTTAAACCTTAAACCGTGTAAACACATTGCATTACACTAAATACAAAAAATAATGTTTTGTTTTAGCAACGTCATATGACCCCGTTAATGAATGAGTCACTGAATCATTCATCCAACCTATTTGCTCAGAGAGCTGATTCATTCAATAAGGAAACACCGTCCTGTGTGTTGCTCAGAGACGCAAAACAGTACTGAAATCTTTGTTTGGAACAAAACAATTATTTTTGTTGGCAAAATTGAGCAGAAACAGGCAACATTGTGTCTAAAATGTAAGTCACTTAATGCTAACTTTATTAGACTTGTATAAAATCAATATTACATTTGTTGTCATGCTGATATCTGGAGAAAAAAACGTCACTCTTCGTGTGATATAGATTAACTATATTAAATGATATAAATATAAAAGACATAAAGGGGCATTTTTGCTTTGAATTTTGATGATGCTAAATGCGACTAAATCACGTAGTGTATGCATGCACTCTCTGTGTGTGTTTTTGTGATATTCTGTCAGATCGCAGATGATATATCGCACACCTCAGCCTCGAATTGAGTGGAAAATAAAATCAACTGCAGTTGTGCGAGCACTTGTTTGCACATGAGCAAAGGTGTTTTTTAGGAGTCTCAACTTGCAAGCACCAGACCATTGATTCATCAAACCTGTGTCTGTAATCTTCTGACTTTATTTTGTAGTAAGTAATGAATTTGCTGCGGGGAAATGCATAGGAGTAAAAGTATACATTTTCTCATTCTCCCAAAAATACTAACACCACTGTAATTTACACCACTGTTTTTATATCTAATGTAGGAGATTAGAGATGCTGCATGTGAGCTTATTGCAATGGACACTTTGGTGAGTCACGTACAAAGATGAAGCTCTTAGTTCTTGAGCACATAGGCGTAGCTTTAACAGAGGGTTCATGAAGGAAACGTAATGGACAATGTGCTGTCATTATTGCAAAAATCAGCACAGACAGAATGATTGGGATTTTGTATTATCCTGAACAATCCTGAACACTTTTGTGGTAATGACTGTCTGGCTGTGCATTATCCTGCTCATTATATGGCTACTTAACAAATACGTAACTAATTGGACACGAAGTATCCGTTTGAGTTTAATTAATTTTACTGTCTGATTTGGACAGACCACAGAGAGACAGGAAATGTATGCTTTTAGATGAACGGTCAGTTATACAGTGCTGCCATAGACAATGGTCTGCTGAATGGACCAATCAGAAGTATTCAAGAAGGCACATAATAAAATTGGATATTATAAACAATGTAACAGCATGAGAGAGAGAGAGAGAGAGAGAGAGAGAGAAACATGTCAGCTTGCGCCCTCAGTCACGGCCGGTTAGTTAAAGCAAATGCCGTTGGCCTCCTGAGAGAGCGCGGGCCGGCCGAGGGTGCCAATCACAGCTGTACCCGGGGCTTTCCTGTGTTCCGTTTGCCGCAAGCTACTTTTTATTAATTTAATAAACATCCCACAGAGAGCGGTGAGCTTCAGCCACCGACAGCAGTGCTGCTCAGGTCCTAATGAGAGGAGCTTACTTTAACCCGACACACATAAAAGAGACTAAGGCAACAAACGTACCCACCCAACCTTTGACAGACACAAACAGACTCTTTAAGTTTCATCAGAAAAACACGTTGGTACAGTTTAACAAGAACATTTTGTTTAAACTAAATGAGACAGAAAGAGGCAGACTAACTGTGGCGAGGGGGACGTGCTTCAGCGAGATCTGCATCGGGAGAGAGAGGCAGGAGACGAGCAGTGCGTAAGTAGGTCAAGCGCAAATGATAAACACCTGTGTCTCGTTTCAGTAATTGGTGTGGAGAGACCGGATAAAAGGGGCCACCTGGAGCATGTATAGAGAGGAGACTGACTGGGAACGCGAGCCACCTGGGGAGACGGGTTATTGAAGCACGAAGCCTATGTCGAGTTGTGTTATGAGTTATCTGACTGAGAGATTGAAAGCGCAGTGAGTGCCGTTTTCTGTTGTGTGCACCCAGAGACTGGAAATAAAGCTTGCGTCCCAGTACGCCGACCCTGTCTTCTTCCTTCCACCCTCTTGAACCATATCACACTAACTTTACTCCACACTAAGCAAATTTATGTTCTTTCAGTCCTAAGTGCAATTTTCTGAGATTCAGAGGGCAAAATCTACTGTAACTGTTCCAGCACAAACACCAGCACACAACAGAAATGTTGATGACTGTGTCACCACCATCTGCTTTGTTAAAAAAAAAAAGATATATAAGCTTTTAAAGCCTTTTAAAGACAGTGCAAGTACTGTGTAGAGAGAAATGAAACCACTGAGGGAGCGTGAGGGCAAATGGGCTGTTGAAAAGACTGGCATAGCTGGCCATCAGTGCTTTTTGTGTTTTGTATGTTGGTGTGGTGATGTCTCTACCAAGCCTATTAATCAGCTTTTTGAACAGCATTCCACCGTTAAAGGTCATTTATAGGGTATTATGTGCAAGATGGTATTGCGGTAATTCAATTTTCACTGTTTATTTACAGGTGGCAAGAGGCATGAAAATCTTTCCAGACTGCTAACTGCAAACACTACACAAGTTTAAAAAAGACTTGATATTTTCCTGGCTGCTGCATTTCATCGAATAATGAGAGGTGATTTTATTCACAATCAATTCAACTGCATTTAAGTTTTATATGGGCCAACACTCTGAAAATATAATACTCACTTGTTTGTTTGCCTCAGCTCTATAAATAAAAAAAAAATAAAATAAAAAAAAAGAGTTTTATTTATGGCTAACCTATTAGCAAGAATTTTTATTTTAATAGAATTATAAAAAATAAAATAAATAAAAAAAAGAGTTTTATTTATGGCTAACCTATTAGCAAGAATTTTTATTTTAATAGAATTATAAAAAATAAAACTAACTTATTTTCAGTTTTATTGATATTTACTATAATTGCTTTAAAAAAAACAAGATTTACTTCATTCAAATATGCAACACAGTTCTTCAGCATTTTTTCACATTTTAATTTCATTGCATTCAATCCACTTAAATTTGTAAAATTGCAGTTAACCTAATCCATTTGTGTTGGGATGACATGAATTATTTTTGTTGTATTAACTGAAACTAGGCAGTTTTTATCTTCCAAGCCAGTGTTATTTTAGCATTACTTATATTTTATTATAGTATTCATTAATATTTTTTATTTATTTTTCTTTTAATATTTTCAGTCTTTACTTTAATTTTAGTTGAAGTTTCAGACATTTTATTAAGCGCTTTTGTCATTTTTGTTAGTTTTCCTAATTAGCTTTAATTTATTTTATTTTAGTTTTAGTTAACAATAACAACAACAACACAAACACTATAAGGTCCAGTGTTCTTTTAGACCCCATTGACATTCATTGTAAGACAGCTAAAACATTGTTCAAAATATCTTCTTTTACGTCCTTCAGAAGAAAGACTTGTTTGGAACGACATGATGTGTACATTTTTTATTTTTGAGTAAACTATCAAGGCCAGGCACACTGTTCTCGGCTCTGCTCCAGAAAGCAGGCTAGTCAACACAGACAACTCTGTTTTTGCAAAAGTGCTAGAAGTAAAGAAAGTATGCTTTGCCCTCATTGTGTGACAAAGTTAATCCTTTTGCTCAGAATGAACAAGCACACATGCTAACCGGCAAAACATGCTGACCTGAGAGTCGAAAGAGCATTTTCTGTTCCGACCCGAATCCAGTATTTGATTAGAGCCTTTTGTTCTAAAGAACCAAAGTCCAATAGCAAGAGCAAACATAAGAATTGACATATGTTCTGCCGCCAGTGAATGTCAGAATAGGTCAATGCTACATGAGTATTAGCACTAGATTTAGAACTGTGGGACTGATGTACAAGCCTCCGTAATACAGTGGATAAGAGCAAACTGGCCTCGGGTTCACCGCAGTAATAAGAGAGACCTGCTCTGTGCAGAGATGCTCAAAAGGTGTGCTTTTCGCCATGAGGGGTGAAAAAGGTTTATAGCTAAAGAAGTGATCAAGGCAAAAGACAGGATCAGGATGTTTTTCTCTCTCTACCTGTAATGAGGTTGTCCACCAGGGTTGTCGGGATACAGAAAACCCCCACCAGAAGGTCGCTCACAGCCAGGTTGAGGATGAAGAGGTTCGTGACTGTTCTCATCCGCCGGTTCTCCAGCACAATCAGACACACCAAGCCATTTCCCACCATGCACAGCAGGAAGATGAAGAGGTAGGCTATAGTCAGGGCGGCAGCCACAGGTAGAGAGTGCTGGTAGTAAGGGTAGTAGGTGATACTGGTGTGGTTGGTGACATTACTGTTGTTTGCGTAATCATTCTGGAGGCTGCTGTTCAAATAGGGTGCAGAAAGTTCCTGCGACATCTCCATTTCTGCTGGCTCCTCCGCCATGGTGTCCCACTTGCTATGCGCCTGATGGTGAACACAAATCACACACACACCACAGTAGAGCCAATTCAAATCAATATTGTCAAAATGGAGACGAAGATGACTTTTCAGTGTAAAATTGAATTTGGGCAAAGAATTTGGGCACCAGGATGCATCAGGCAAATGGGAATGTGCAGTCAATTTCAACAGGATGCATCTGATGCATGCCTAAGAGACTGTTCATTGCTTAGATTTTCTGTGATTTTATGCATGATATGAGTTTAAAACAATTCATGCTATTGTGAAAATGTATGTACTGTATGGACAAAAATTGCTTTGGAAATATAATGAATACACGAATGACTACATTTGCATTTCCAGAAGAAATCGGCAGAGCTTGCAAGGCAGAAAATATTTACACTGCAGAAAGTTTTTTTTAATCCAATAAGATAAATCCAATAAGTTTCCATTAAAAACTGCATTTAATAATCTTAAAAAGTATAAACATACAATTAATATTATATCCATCCATCTATTCTCCAAACTTGTATGCTGTAGGAGGAATATAAATACCATATGTTTTTCTAAATGTTTATTTTTCTTGGTAATTTTTTTTTTAAATGAGTAAATCTCACACAAGTTTAAATGGTTTATGCTTAAAAATACCATGGGGAAATGAAAAAAAAAAATGCAGTGCAAGTATAAGATTAGGTTTTAAAAGTTTAGATTTAGTTGTATGGTTTTGGTTCTACAACACATCTTTTTTTGAGTCAGAAGAAAAAAAAGTCCACAAATAACAATTCAGTATGCAAATGATGATGATGTTATTGCTTTGCTTTCAGTGCTGGAATACTGAACATTCTATGCAAGTTAACAGCTTATTATTATTTTTCATCTGATAGCACACCTAAGGCTGAAATTATTTAAAAAAAAATTGAAACTGAAATAATTTCAGTAGTTGAATAGTGGTTTAGAACAAATTTATAGAATGCCTGAGGAAAATCAATACAATGCTGTCTTAAATATGAACGCCTACAGAATTAATTGAAGTGAAATAGTTTGTGTGATGGAATTATGATGTATGTGCAGGTCTGCTTTTTTCTTTTTTCTTTTTTTCCAGCGACAGACAGTAAAAGAATGGCATTCTGAGGGAAAGTTGACTGGAGAGATGTAATTGAAATCCATGACCTTACAGCACTAATTGTTCTTCTGTTTCCTTTGCTTTTAAACTGATGTTTTAATGGAAGTGCTAAATCTATGCTTGGAGCATAGATCAAAACAATTACACATAACAATATAATATAATTATCTAACCACAGAACTGCTATTAATACTGACCAACATGAAAACAGAGTTCAAAGACTTTATGAGCACACTGTTTTGTATGTTCTTGTAATTAAACTCTTGAGTTAAAAAATCCAATAAAATGGATACCACCCACAAGGTCTCAATTTCTCCAGCCATTAAGGTCCTGAAAACATTTTGGAGCTGGAGTTGTGTCCTGTGGTGCAAAGCTGTTGAGTTGCTGCAAGTCATAAAACAATAGAGGGAGACATGCTGAGAAATGAGAAAGTGAATAACCTCAAGAGTTCCCTATCAAACTCTGTCTTATATAAAACTGAAGACTTGTCACTGTGATTAAGGATGCACTGTCCGCAAGGTCGCTGTAAATGACTAGCTAGCCATTCACGTTTTTTCAGTTTAAAGCTCCAGCATTCTGTCCAACCTTAGAACAAATTAATTAAAAATCCTCACAGCATACACTGAATATGCTCTATTAATTAGAGATTTTTAATAGCATAATTGAATTTATCGGTCTTATTTAACAGATATTGCAATTCAGATTCAATTAAGATTCAGTTGACTTTCTCCATCTCGCATTGTCCGAAGAGCTTTGATCCAAATTTTTTTCTTCTTCTGTGACCTTTTTTAAATGTGAGCAATGTAAGGATCTCTGATTCACTCAGTCTAAAAGCCTCACTGACAGCTGAGAAAAAATTGTGATCCATAGATGTTAGCCACTGCTGATTTTAAATGCATAAGCGTGACAGTATTTGCACGTCTCATCCTTTCAATGAACAATTAATTCCGTTTTGAACCACATGAATTATTTTAATCATTTGAGTGGCTGGCAGTCATTAATTCCATTAGTAGCAGAAAATAACGCAAGATGTGACATTCTTAAGTATTTTGTGATTTGTTTACCATCCTCCTATTATTTTCATCAACTTATTATTTGTTGTAACATTTAGTAAAAATTAAAGAAGTTTAATGGTCATTAATTGACTTTCAAAGTGAGACTATGAGGCAAACGTATTGGAGGGTTTAAAGGTAAGAAATGTGGTATGTTTGCAAGAAAGAGAAAAGTTGGATGTTTGTAAGAAACAAATTCATCAAGACATATTTAACTTGAAACCATTGCTTCTGGCCATAATACAAGTTCATATCCCATAATGCTTCATCCAGTGAAAAAGTCAATCCTCTGTTGTCCTCTCAAATCCACTGACATAACTGATTAGAATTCTTTTGGAAAATTTTTGCCTGATCTATGCATATTTCTCTCTTGATGCTAAATTTCTCCAGATTCATTCCAATGAAGAAACATATTCATATACATCTTGGGTGGCCTGAGGGTGAGCCTGTCAACAAATGTAACATTTTTGGGGAACTATAATTTAATTCAATTAAATCAACTGAAATTTTTTTTTTATTAATATCCCTATAATATTATTTCAATGTTTTGTTTATTTATATCAACTTCTAGTTTCTGTGGTTGGAGCCTATGAATAGCAGATGAGAGGAGCTGAAAGATTATATAAAACTTTGAAGTGACAAGGCTGGAAAGCAGTTCTGTTAAGAAATCACACTAATCTCATGCTAACTAATGTTGAAGTATTATGGGTTTACGTTTGAAACAATGTAATAATTGTACATTTTTAATGCTTTTTTCCTGTGCTACAATTTAAAAAATTGCAACTTCCTGTTTGTATTTACAGATAGCAGCATGGGTTGAAATTGTCTTTGGCTGTTAACAGTAACAAATACAGCAACAACAACGTAATACGTTTTTAGGCTAGGTTATGATGCATTTACAGATGTATCCTAAGTCCATTTCCTCATCATGAGAGGCATAAGTCTAACGCTTCCATCACTGAGGAAAGAGAAAAGACAGAATAAAATGTCTTTTCAGAAGCAAATTAAACAAGTTATATGAAGGAATTCACTTACACTAAAGTCTCTGCAACCCTTTTTTTTTTTAAATATCAGCTACAATATTTTATGTAATCCGTTCAGTGTAATTTGCTGGTTAATTGAAAGAACACTGACTGTAAAGCGATCTTGTCGTCTTCATATTCTTCAATACTGTTTTATTGTATCTAATGACCCTCAATTTGCACGACCTGAGTGGAACTGCACCATGAGTTCACTTAATTGTCTTACAACAGTTCACTGGAAAGGCCAGAACTGATTGTACAAATATTATTGTGAAGCACACTCTTTGTTCTTACCAAAAAGTCTTTGAGCACCGAATGATTGCAATCTTCAGACCATTTGATCAATCAACTAAGTGAGTGGTGAACTGTCATGCAAGTCTGTCTTCCATTTCGCTTTGTGATTCATAGGAAATGTTTCAGACTAATTGGTGTTGAAAACCACCCAGAATATAATAAGCAGCAAGTTGCCCAGCATTAGTAATGCTACACTCAGGGCCGTCAAAAAATAACCAGCTTTACAAAAGAATGCACAGCAAGACACATCAAATCAGGCTTTGGGGTTTCAAATTTCTGAAAGACTGAGTCTCTTATATTAGCAGAGGGAATTAGAATTGCAGTATAAAATGTCACTTCATGATTTCAACTTCTGATAGAACTGTCGGTGGTGAGAAGAAAGCCTGCAGGACTGGACTCAAGGTTTCTAGAGATTTGCCACTGCTTTGTCATGGCCCGCCAGTGCCTCTGAGATCTAAGTGAAACCTTTAAAGTCCCCCTGTAGTGAAAATCAAGTTTTTTATGTTGTTTATTTGTCTATGTGGTGTTTTTAATATGCTTTTAGACAAACCATGTGCCAATCTATTAATCAACACCATTGCTGTGTATTTTCTCCTTAAAACTGTAGTTTCCCAAAGGCTGACCCAGAAATATGGTTTGAAACAGCCCTTGGTTTGCTACGTCACAAACCAATAACCAATCACGTCAAGGGATCGATTCCTATCACTAGCATGCAAAATATACCAATACCAGCACAAAACCAAAAATAAATCAGAGCAAAAAACCCATGAAGCTGTGGTTTAATGTGAATTTAAAACCGCTAACTTGCATTATAACCCGTTGCAACAGTGTAAAAGTAGCCCGGAGTCAGACGCACCTCTCCCGCAGCTGCGTCTGCGCTTCACATGCGTATGCTCGCGGGCGCGAATTAACAATCACAAACGGCTGCATTCGATGTGACTGAGTGGAGGCGGGACTAATTTGCATATTCATATATCAGCGTATAGTAAATGAAGCAAGGGTGTAGAGTTACATTCAAGCTATTTTAAGGCATGAGAAAATTATTTTCACAAGAAAAAACATTTAAATATGTTATTTTGATGATCAAAGATAAGTTTTAAGGGATAAAATATTTGACTACAGGGGGACTTTAACAAAAGCTTTCTTGAAAAATTACACAAACATAGGGCAACCTGTGGCATACTGTACAGAAGGCAACATGAGACTGCCTAGGGGGCCAATGCACAAATGGATTATTTTCATTTTATCCATCCATCCAGAAGTAAGCACCTTTATGTCGACTATACAGACATGTAACACAGGAATCTACACTGAATCAGACTGAAAGAAGTGTGTTGCTGCAAAGACTTTGTTTATAGCTTGCTTATTTGTTGTTGGTGACCTAAAACTAAGTCTGTGCAATATTTATTGCAGATTTTAACAGGTAAATGTCAGGTTTGATGGTTGGCCTCATGTTAATTGGTAGGTATTTAGAAAAGCCTGTTACACTCAAGCCTCAAATTTTGTCTCCTCAAA